GGAGCCCATACACTGCCGCCACTAACGCGTCGATTGATTCGCCTGAAAACACAGCCGAACTGGGCGAGGAACCGGCCCCATTCGATACTACGAGATTTGCCAAATGTCCAGTAGCCTTTTCCTCCGCGCTCTCCGCCATCTTTAGTCGGTGCATACCAAGCCCTGGAAATTTCTTCAGCGAGGTTAGCATAGATCTCGGCCGAATCGCAAACGATATGCCCGATCTCTTCTTCGAAATACACGAATATGAAGACTTTGGAGTTCGCGCTGAGCTTTACGCACTTTACCGACGATTCAAGCTCCGCTACTTCTACCTATCGGCCGTCCGTCTTGGTTATCACACAGGGGCACGATGGTGTAGGCATGCGTCCTCCCAGCTCGCGAATGAGATCCTGAAGAAATATCCGTCACGGGGCTTAGATCACGATACTCTGAAGCGATATCTGGATGACTATGTCCGACTTGGTTCCAAGTACAATGTATGGGCTACAGAATTGGGTGGCCCTGGTTACTTACTTGTGCTACCTTTAGAAATTACTGAAAGAGAGTGAGTTATGCACCGTTAGTAGATCCGCTTCAGAGGCTAATACAAGAAAATATTATAGATATACAGACAGACACTATACGCGCTATATTCCAGAAGCCGTCCGAAAATTTCGTAAAGACGGTATAGATCAAATTGTGAAGGACTATCATCTTAATGTCTTAGGAGACCATATTGCCCACACACTGGCTCAGTTCGGACCTCCACATGAATCGCTTAAGCGGCCTTTAACAAAGTCGGCGAAGAGATGCAAAAGAAGGAAGCAGGACTTGGATGGGCAGAGTGAGTTAGCAAAAGCTCCATAGAGAAGGGTTTAACTTAAAGCAAAAGCAGGCAGCTTTATTAATACCGCCCTCGTGACTGCTGTTGCAGTGGAAGATCAACCTGGAGGGCTATTGGCTCTTCCAAACTTCCAAATGGCACCCAGTGCTACACCACAGATGGTTTCCTCGAATATGGGCCTTCATTATGCCGATATCCATAATGCATTCGACCGTCAAGTACGGAACGACCCCGAGGCACGGATTGACGCTGAGAGCGCGGACTTTTCTGATGAGTATCTCCAGAATGCATTAGACGCTCTAGCACGGATTGACCCCGAGACCGCGGACTTTTCTGGAGGGGATATCCAGAATGCATTAGACGATCTAGCACGGATCGACCCCGAGACCGCGGACTTTTCTGGAGGGGATATCCAGAATGCATTAGACGATCTAGCACGGATCGACCCCGAGACCGCGGACTTTTCTGAGGGGGATATCCAGAATGCATTAGACGCTCTAGCACGGATCGACCCTGAGAGCGCGGACTTTT